CGCAATCACACCCCGCACACTGTTGGTGTGGCCCTCCAGCACCTCGCAGGAGGCAGTGTCCGCGGTGTACCGCATGGCCTCCGTCCCGTCGTCCGCAGGATGCCACACCCGAATCGTGTTGTCCCACGACCACGAGACCAGGACAGGCAGCTGGCCATCCGCACTCGGCAGCGCAATCACACCATGCACCCTGCTGGTGTGGCCCTCCAGCACCTCACAGGAGGCATTGTCCGCGGTGTACCGCATGGCGCCCGTCCCGTCGTCCGCAGCATGCCACACCCGGATCGTCCTGTCCCACGACCACGAGACCAGGACAGGCAGCTGGCCATCCGCACTCGGCAGCGCAATCACACCCTCCACATCGTCGGTGTGGCCCTCCAGCACCTCGCAGGAGGCAGTGTCCGCGGTGTACCGCATGGCCTCCGTCCCGTCGTCCGCAGGATGCCACACCCGGATCGTGTTGTCCCCCGACCACGAGACCAGGACAGGCAGCTGGCCATCCGCACTCGGCAGCGCAATCACACCCCGCACACTGTTGGTGTGGCCCTCCAGCACCTCCACGCGTTCACCAGTTTGCACGTCCAGTACGTCCACATTCTTCCAACATCCACCAGCAACCAGCGAGCCACTGATGTTGATGACATTGCCGGACGAGCCATCAAAGCGAAAGCGCTCAGCACCACGATGCGCAACAGGGTCCACAGCTCTCGATGGAATGAGAGCCCCAGACGGGACATCTTCGCTCACAGCAGCAACCAGGTCCTTCACCGCTTTGGACGCGTTGTTATAGGCAAGTCGCGCAACGAGCTCGGTTTCGATTTGCGACTTGCCCTTCTCAATGATGTCGCGTGAGAGCGACAGCGCACGCTCGACCTCGTCAACGTCTTTGGCTCCTTCACATCCGAGGCGCACAACACAACGCAGATCGTTGAGGAGGCCACTAAGCGAGTCGTTTGCGCGGGCTTTCATCCATGGCCAGGAGAGAGCAACCGCAACGGCGGCATGGTTCGCTCCGGCTGCAATCATGTGCGAAATACCGTGGGTGACGATCCAGTCGGAGGCAGTATCAGATGTCATGGCCTTCGCAGCGGTATGCGGCGTGGCGCCAGACGGAGGCAGCCCGGCGACAACGGCGAGATGACGGGCAGGAAGGGAAGGGATGTCGTCAAAGCATACCTCAAGCTGATGGCGAATGTACTCGAGGTGCAGATCGTGCATCTCGATTACGGTTATGGCCCCGCCATCCGTGGCAACGACGCGCAGCAACGACGTGTTGGCGAGGGCATCGAGGGACCTAGCAAACTTGATATTGCTTGCGTCGATCGCGGAGCGGAAGTTGGCGACGTCGATGGGCGCGTCTGATGGAAAGACGGCGAGCATGGCGTAAATAGTCAGCGCCACCTTGCGGACACGCTTGGGGATGGCACCGCTGAGGGTCCAAGTGATGATGTCAAAGATGCGGGCGTACTTGGCGTCCGATCCGCCGCAATCATCGCGGTGCTCATCCATGGCAAGCTCAGTTGCATCTGCAGCGTCCTCAACAGCGTCGTCAAGCGCAGCCTCGCCAGAAATGGACGAGCCAAGGACGGCGAGGGCGAGGGCATGGCCACGGCAAAAGGTCGCGAGGGAGACGATGCGGGAATCGTTGAGAGCAAGGGTGTTTGCCCACTCAGGTGAGCCCTTGGCGAGGTAGTTGCGAAGGACAACAGCAGCGTCGTCCGGGCCAAAGGTGCCAAGCTTGATGGAGGAGGTGGTGTTGGTAGCAACAGCGGCGTTGCGCGAGGTGACGAGGATGGCATGCGGGGCTGCGATGTGGTTGGTGAAGACGGAGGCCTGGCGGGTGGTCCACGCATCGTCGAGGATGAGCAGGATGCGGGTGCCGGCGGCGGCAAGGGACCGGGTCTTGGCAGCAAGGATACGTTGGAGGTCGTCGAGGTTGGCCTGAGTATCGACTGTGCAGCTCAGACCCTGCTTGAGAAAGTAAGACATGCGGCTGGTAAGAGCTGGGTTGGACGTATTGTCCTCACCAAGCGAGAGCCAGAAGACGGAGAAGACCGAAGTAATGGCGGGATGGATGGCGACATCGGCAGCGAGTGACGACTTGCCGACGCCACCGAGCCCGTTGACACCGACGACTGAGACGTTGTTCGCACCAAGAAGGACATTAATGACCGCATCACGAGTGTCAGGGAGCGGGTGGTATTCGGGTGGATTGAATGGCGGCGGCATGAGTAAAGGCAAACGCTCAATAGAGCAAGAGTCGCGCAAGACAGCGACGACAGCGTCTGCAACGCGGGAGACGAGATCGGAAAAGCTGTCGTGGCCGTTACGGTCGCCCTGGACGCACCCCCACTCAGGCAGCGAGTGTATGAGCTTGACTCGTTCACAGCGCGAGGAGTACCATGCTTTCACGTTCAGGTCCTCAGAGTGTTCAGCCTTGTGGACAGCACCCTTGGCGTGAGCAAGATCACCAAAGGCAGCGATAAGGTCAGGGCCAATCCAAGCCTTAGCCTGCTCCTCATGCACGGCGCCGGTGACACGCTCAATGACGTCGGCATCAGCGAGCCGGGCATCCCCCCAAACGCTATTGAACGGCAAGGCTTCATGCATGAAGACAGGGATGATGACGGGGTTATTGTCGAGGGCAAAGCGCACCTCTTCCATGGCAAAGCCCGAGGCGAGGAGATAGGGCGAGACTGAAATAACAATGATGCGTGAGCCCTCAAGTAGGGCATGCACGTCGTCCATGCCACTGCACCTGACGCCGAACCAGTCCAGCCTGTCCACAAACGCCCTGACACCACGTCGTAAGAGCTCCCGCCGAACGTCGATCATGAAAGCCTTGTCGTGCGAGCCATGCGCGAGAAATACGTCATACTTCTTGATGGGGGGCGGCTTGATCGTAGAAGATGGAGCGGCTGGTGACGATGACGTCGCTTCAATTTGCATGTTCTGAGGGACTGCGGAGGAAGGGGTGGCCGAGCTGGCCGAGCTGGCGTTGGCGGGGGGGTGCGGGCGGGGGCGCTTGGCAGAACCCTGCTGCACTGGTGCGTGTGCAGGGCGCGGGGGGTCCCCTGTGTCCCCTGGGGCGGGGTCCATGGGCACAGTGAGAGGTGTGCGGAGTGTGCGTTGCGTGTGACGGCGAGGGCGACAGTCGGCATTTGGGCGATTTTTTGGATATCGGGCGAGTGCCGGGGGAAGGGCCGGGGGAGAAGGTATGATTATTTCAATGAGAGTTAATTGATGGGGATGGGCATGATTAGTTGAACGAGAAATGATTGATGTGGCGATGGTGGGGCCAGGGGGGGTGCATGCAAGCAAGAAGGGTGTGTAGTTGGGCAAAAAGAAGAAAGAATGCGTTACTCGGTATTCCCGTGTGGTCCCCCACCACAGTACTAACCAAGCCTCATGCTGCTTGACTTCCGAGAGCGAGACGGGATCGGGTATTTTCAGCATAGGATGAACGCATTCGCTGTAAGAGTGTGCGTGTGGTAGTCATGTGGTGGAGGGCGAGGGCGCAGAGCGGTCGCAGAATGGGTTCCGACCAGGAGATGGCGATCGGGTGATTGAGGCAAGATGTGGCTGCTTCCGGCGCGATGCGGCTGTGAGTGGACTCTGATCTGTGAGTGGAATAGAGGTGCTTGCATTGCTGAGTCTCACCTTGTTCGGTTCCTTCTCTGCGATGTGGCGAGAACCACAGCTCGCCGACGTCCACGGCCTCCGTACGTACATGCACAACTGCGCTGACAACCATCATGGACTTTGAATCTCAAGGTCACCTCGGCTTTGTTGACTCGATCGAGGATGCGCTCGAGACGCTTCCGGAGAGCCCGGCCGTTACCTTCTCCAACAACGTCTACGGCGTTTGGCGCGGTAGCGATCAGACGGCCGACGGCGTTGTGGCTGCGGTGGCGTACAAGCGCCGCGACCTTGTGGCGATCAAGGTCGGTGGCTGCCCAAACGACAAGAACATCACTAGCAAGGCGTTGATTGCCATCGGCGGGTCATGCACCTTGCTCAAGTTGGTGGATGCATCGAGAACCGTGGCTGTGACCGACCAGTGGCCAGGGTGAGGGAGCGATCGGCCAGTCGTATGCAAGTTGAGATGGCGATGGAAGGCAGGCATCAGCTTTGTTGAGTGCACAGTGGGGGTTCATGGCAGCCAGCTCGCCGACGAGGGATCTGCGGTCGTCCGACTTGGGGGAGGTGAGGCCCATGGGACCGGGGTCGTTTGTGGTTGGCTTTCTAGCGTCGGCCTTGGGGGCGTCGGATGGGTGGCTGAGAAGGCGATTGGAGGCCGAGGCGAAGGTGAGGTGGTAGATCGAGCTGGAGAGGATGTCCAGCATACGTGTGTGTGTGCGTGGGCCGTGTGCTCGTTTGCTGGGAGCTGGCACGGCATGTGTGGCTCGGGTGTGGCGATGGGAGAGGGGATGGCTGGGGTCCGACTGAGGCATGGATGTGGTGAGAGCGTGCGCGATCTGGCGACGACGAGTCTGTTGAGGGGTGATGGCATGTGCTCGCTGTCGTCGAGCAACCCGATGTCCCATTCGTCTGGGCGGAGCAGGTCAGGGCTTTGTTGCTTCCGCTGTTAGCTTGATAGCGAGCTGGAACCGCAGCGCGTTTTTGACGAAGGACGACGACGTTGCATCGACCACCAGGGCGGTGGTGTCCAGGCTGCTGTGCGGCTGTGGTGGACGGGCGTGGTCGGCTTGTTGTTTGCCCAGCCCATGAACGGCGTGGCAGTCGTCATGCCAGCGGTAACGTCGGCGAGGAGGACGATGGGGCTGGTGTCAGCAGCACTCGGCTGCGAGCGAGGGTGGGGTCGGCATGCGCAACGCCTCGATGGCAGAGATCAGAGATCAGATTGCGGCCGCGGGGCCATGATGCGTGTGCGGGTGGCGGCGATGAGGACAACGAGCGAGGGACATGGGTGGGGTTGGCAAGGTACGTCGTTGTCAGGCAGAGGTAGCACGACACCCAGCAAAGAAGAGCTGGCCGGCTGACCTCGCTTGATCGAGGACGATCCGGAGGACTGGCTGAGGCGGTGGGCAACTGTGGGGGAGATCGGGATAAAGGAGGACAGAGTGTTAATGCGCGATGAGGGGTGATTGGATTGCAAGGGACGGCGCGGGTGGGCATGGTTTGTTGCGCAGCAGCAGGTGATGGGGTTGATGGGATGGATGGTCGGGCGTGGTGGTTGCAGGAGAGCGATGACGGTTGTGTGGCGGATGTGCGAGGCATAGTTGTGCTCGGCGCATGTGTCTGGGTCTCATCTTCAGCAGCTGGAGGGCGCAGGCAGCGCCATCTGGCAATGTGTGGATGGCAGGCAGGTTGGGGC